CAGAATCTTAGTTCCCTGATCAGGGATCAAACCCATGCCCCCAGCCGTGGAAGTGCGGAGTCCTAACCACTGGACCACCAAGGAAGTCCCTCTTGTTGTGGCTTTGATTTTCACTTCTTAATGTCTAATGATATTGGGCACCTTTCTGTGTGCTTATTGGCCTCTGTATATCTTCTTTGGAGAATTGTCCATTCAAATACTTTATCTTCTCAATACATTTTGGTAATATTATGCCAAACGTGTGCACACACGCACACACACAGACATACACACAGAGCACATTCTCGTACCATCCCAGATTTACTTCAACTATCACAACAGCTCTATGAGGAAGCCATGATTTGTGCCACTTTTCAGGTGAAGAAACTGAGGCTCAGAGTAATGCAATGATATGCCCAAAAGCCCACAGCTTACGGAGTGTCAGGGCCCAGAGTTTTACTTACTTAACCAACATTCATATAGTATTTACTATGTGCCAGTCCAGAGCACCTGTGAACCTCACATTCCAACAGTTTTCCAGTGAAAGGATCATTATCAATAGCAGAACTTCTCTGAAGCAGCAACTTATTTCTTTTTTTTAAAAAAAAAAAAACTTTTTCTCTCCAATTACCAAAGTAACACATTTTAGAATAGTTGGAAAAGACTTTACAGAGAAGCACAAATATGACGGAGCAGAGATTTTTTTCCTTCTTCCTTCCCACAGCTCTGATTTGGCTTCTGTCTGATTTTGGATTTATGTGAACAGGTAACACAGTGGGGAGCCCCAGAACAGGAGGTCTGTGCCTTCAGGAAGTTTCTATCAAGCATTTTGTGTTTTGAAAAGTAGGGCTTTGAATAGAAGGTATCAGAGGCATTTTTCAGGAGAAGATATACCAGGGATGAGGTACACCAGCTGCGATGGAAGCTTGCTTTGGTTTGGGGGCTTTTCTAGGGCTTTTGGGTCTGGCTGGAACAGGGCTTTCTCCCTTACCAGCTGTACCGTCTCATTTAATGTCCCCCGTGCCTCAGCTTCCTCATCTGGAAAATGGGACTAAGCATCCCTAACTTATCTAGTTGTGGGCACACTCCTCCCACCCCTAACGATGCCTGCAGCACTGGAACTCTGGGTTCACTGGCAGAACATACCCTCCTTCAATGGGGTTGGTTCTGGGGCTGAGTTCTTTGTTCAGAATGGCTCAGTGGGATTCCCTGGTGGTGCAGTGGTTGAGAGTCCGCCTGCCGACGCAGGGGACACGGGTTTGTGCCCCGGTCTGGGAGGATCCCACGTGCTGTGGAGCGGCTGGGCCCATGAGCCATGGCCGCTGAGCCTGTGCGTCCGGAGCCTGTGCTCCGCAATGGGAGAGGCCTCAATAGTGAGAGGCCTGCGTACCGCAAAAAAAAAAAAAAAAGAGTGGCTCAGTGCCTTGGGAGATAGAGATCTGAGTTCAGATCCTGGTCAGATCCTGGTTTCCTCTTTAACCAACCCTTGCTCAAATCCCCTACATGTTTGAGCCTCAGTTTCCTTCTTGTACCTACGTTATAGGTTAGTTGGGAGGTTTCAATATAGTAACGCATGTAAAGTGCCTGTCTGGTGCTTTACACTGAGGAAGTGTTCAGGAAACGTGAGCTCTTAACACCATCATCACTTACTGCAGACCTACTGTGTGCCCGGCACTCTCAGGGAGGAGGGCATGAAGGTGAAAACACAGCATGGGTCGTGTTCCCAAGGACTTTGAAGATGTCTGACTTCAGACTCTTTGTTCCTGTCACTCCACCATTTGAGTTGGGCCTTGAAGGGCGGGTCAGATTTGTCACATGGGGTTGGGAGGGAGAAGAGGCCTTGTGGATATGGAGCCATGGATGCCAAGCCTGGGAAATGGGAGAGTGTAGGGCGTGAAGGGAAAACTGCAAGTATTTTAATTCAGTTCCATGTGAGGGCCTCTCCAGTCCATCTCACACAAATCTCAGTGAAAATATATTAAATACCTGCTATGCACCCCTCTGAGGACTTTATATCCAATCCCTTATTGAATCTTCATGGTAAATGGAAAGGTCACTTTGCCATTCCCATTTCAAAGATGAGTAATTTGAGGCTCAGAGAGATCCAGCAACCTGACTAAGAGCCCTACGCTAGGAATGGATGTGGCAGGAATTCACGTTCAGGGTGACCCAGTGCAGATCTGCATCTCACACCTCTGGCAGGAATTAGTTCCCAGGCAGTGAAACTCTAAAGCCAGCCCCAGCTGCCCGGTTCTCAACCATGGAAAGCTGGCTCACGGCCCCCTTGCTGGCTCCCTTCTTTCGTCCCAGCCCCACCCTGCTACCTCCATTTCCCTTCCTGGTCCTGGGGCCCTGCTCCTTCCCCAAACCTATTCTGCCACAATTCCTTCCAGGTTCCCTCATCTGTAAAATGGGGTTAATAATAGTGCCTGTCCCAGAGGGGTGACGTGAGGATCAGAGGAGATGCCCAAGTGCTTGGAGCCCAGCACACAGTAGGTTCTGTAAATATTAACGATCGTCATCACCATCATCCTCTTAATGATAGCCCTGTTGTCCTGTGACATCGGCTAAGTGGAAGCATTATCGGTATTTGATGGTTGAGGAAATTGATGTTGAGAGGTAGAGCAGCAGCCTGTCCAGCGGCGCTCAGACGGCAGGTGGGGAGTGGGACTTGAATCTGGGCCTGCTGAGCCTCTGACTTCAGATTTCATTAACTTCTGCCACTCTTTGCTGGGAAGATGAATGAATCATTTAATCAATATTTATTTCCCATCTTCTGCATGCCACGCCAGGCCGTAGATGCTGAGGGGCATTCAGAGAGAGATACCACCTGGTCCCTTGAGAGAGCTTAGAACCCAACAGATAAACCAGGCATGAAAACAAAGCCTTGTTTTTTGAGGCAGAACACACGAAGGGTCCTAAGAGGGCGAGAGGCACTCTGACTGGGAGAGGGGAGGCAGGCAGGGAAGGCTTCCTGGAGGAGGTGATGTTTAAGCTAGGCTATGAAGCTTTTTCCCCGTGTGGCCACTGAGGAAAGAAGGCATCAGAGACACCATCAGCTGTGTGGGCAGGGCAGCAGCGCCTGGAGGCCTGTCACCAGGCTCTTCAAGGTGCAACAGAGCCTATGAGTTGAAGGTGAATGAAGGTTGTCATGATAAGTGTTTTCCAAAAACTTGTTGTAGAGGATGGCTGTGAGAAAACCACTGGGAGCACAACTGCATGTAATAAGCGTATAGGGACTTGCAGATGAATGTTCAAGTCCTTGGCTGTGGTGTTTAAAAATTCATTGCCTGAAAGGTGTGGCATACAGTATTTTGGAAAGAAAAATGAAGAATTGGTCACGAAGACATGAATTGAAGCAAATGATGAAAATTAATATTTTAGTGAACACTGATCACCTCAATAAGTTATGTAGAAAAATACATGTTCAAATGGTTTTAATTGTTGGGCAATAAAGTCTATTTTCTTTCAAATAAAATAATAATAATAAATAAACTGGGCCATGAAAGACCAGTGAAATGTGTAGACAGGAGTAAAGGGGTCTGTGTACTGGAGATAAGGCCAGAGATGTAACCACAGCTGCCATTTCTTGGGGTTCCTTATGAACCACACTCTGTGCTGAGTGCTTTACATGCATTATCTCATGAGATTTCCCCACAACCTTATGAAGTGAGTGGTAAGGGATAAGAAAACCAAGCTCAGAGAGTTTACAAAACTTCCCTGGGGTCACACAGTTAGCAAAGTGGCCAGGCCTGGATTTGAACCCAGGGCTGTCTACTTCAAGGTCTGGGCTCTTCACCACTATGCATTATTGCCACCTCATCCTCCAGATCTGAGGATCAGGTATTAAGCTGGGGACTGACTCTGGAAGTGCTCTGAATGCCAGGCTCAGCCTTGCATAAAAATCACACAGCAACAGGCAGGAATCAGCAGACCTGGAATTAAGAAGCAGCTTTTAGCAGCTCTGCCACTCACCAGCCAAGGTCACTTCTCTGAGCCTTGACGTCTCTAAACTGGAGAGATGAGGAATGTAAATGGATTATCGGCAATAAGGGAGGGAAGACCTGTGACAAAAGGATTGTTGAGGAGAAGCCTGGAGATGTTCAAATATTTACTGAGTGTTGGGCTCTGGGAATACAACTGTGAACAAATCAGAACTGTGCACCCTGGACCCCCACCCAAGCCTGCAAGGGGCACAGCTTGGGAGAGCAGGGGAAGAGCCTCTTATTGGAACAAGCAAGGGCTCAGGACCGGGCCTGTCCCAGACTGAACTCAAATCGGCGAATCTCTCTGTGTGACCCTGGGCAAGTTACCTAGCCTCTCAGACTGTCCATCTTTACCACGAAGATCATCATTGCTCTTCTGACGACTGTTGGCTCAAATTAAATAAGATGTAATCACCTCCAGAGTGCTAGGCATACTGTGGGCACTCAGTTGACGTTAGTATCCCCCTATGAAGAGGTATAAACGTTAGGCTCCGTCCTCAGCCCCCTTGCCAAGAAAGAGAACAGTTTCCTGGCTTTCATTTTAGCGGGGGGAAAAACGATATAAATACCTATATGTTATCGTTGGCTGAGCTATAATGCAAACTAGCAAAAGGTCTGTGGCCTGGGCAGTGTAGTGCTGGGTCTGGGCTCAGGTCAAGACTCCGCGCCAAAATGTTGCCCCCACCCCCAGGGAATTCGGGCCCAGTCCTCAGCTCTGTGAGGGAACCACCCTCCCAGTCTGTTCCTCTGGCTGTCAGCGCGGGCGGGCGCCGGGCGACAGCAGCTGTGGTGTCCCCTTTAAGCATCCAGCTCGTGTTGCAATCACCGCCTCGGGGACGGGTCCTTCCGGGGGGTGGAGCCTGTGCCTGTTGCAGCGACCAACCGAAGCGCGGCATTTTCCGCGGGAGATCCGAATTTCGCGGCACGCAGTTTCGCGCTAAAAAAAAAAAAAAAAAAAAGGCAGAAAAAAAAAAGCAGAGAAAAGCTCAAGGACTCGAGAGCGAGGCGAGAGGGAGTCGGTGCAATCGGTCCCCCTCCCCCGTCCGAGCGCAACGCGTTTCTGCTGAGCCCGTGGGCATCCCAGAGACCACTCCCGAAGCGGGCCAGACCCCAGGTGCCGAAGCATTAGGGGGCGCAGGGCCCTTGCTGGTCGCAGCAGCCCTCGCGGCGGGGCATCCCCTGGCCGTGCCGCCGCCGCCGCCGCCGCCGGCGCGGGGCGATCTCCAAGCGGCGATCTCCAAGCACTGCCCGGCTCGGCGGCGGGCCAGGAGGGGAGGGTCCGGCCTTGCCCGGCCTCCGCGCCATGCCGCGGGCCGTGTGAGCCGCCGCGGGCTCCGAAGCCCGCAGGTGCCGGCGGGCGCGCCAGGCCCGGCTGGGGAGGGGGCGCTGCGCTCGCCATGCTGCGAGGGCCGCGGGCCCTGGCTCCGGCCGCGGGGCCACCCCCCAAGGGGCTGCCCGCGATGAGCCCCACGGAGCTGTGGCCGCCCGGCCTCAGCAGCCCTCAGCTCTGCCCGGCCACCACCACCTACTACACCCAGCTGTACCCGCAGACTGTGCCTCCCGCTGCGGCGCCGGGCACCTGCCTCGACGCCACCCCCCACGGACCGGAGGGCCAAGCTGTGCGATGCGTGCCTGCTGGCCGGCTGCCGGTAATGCTGGGGACCACCCCCCCCCCGCCCCCGCACCGCTTCCCTCTCTGCTTTTACGGGGGTGGGACAGGCGGGAGGGACGCCTGGGAGCTGTCTGAGTGAGGCAGGTCGAGTCTGGGGAGGGAGAAGGGGAGCTTTCAGCTTCCAGAACAACCCATTGCCCCAATATCTAAGTAGAAGAGCCTTTCATTTTCAGACTTGGGATGAAATAACCTCATCCATTGGGGTGGAATGGAATGAGCACTGGATCAGGAGTGTGGAGACCCAACGCCCTACGCCCAGTGCACCCTGTGACCTTGGGGAAGTCTACGGAGTCAATTTGCTGTCATTCATTCATTCTTTCATTCATTGTTTGGCCCAGAAACCAGTACTGGGCACCTGCTATTGTCCAAGCACAGAACTGAGCCTGGGGATACCATGGGGGCTTTAAAATAGGGGGAGGTCTCTCAGGTCCAGTTTGGCTGAGACGCCTAATTTTCCATCCGGCCAACTCTTTCCCAATTATCTGCCCTAGGTCCTCCCCCAGGCCCAGTCTTCTGTCCCAGACAGCCAGTAGCAGGTGCAAGGTGGGGGCAGCCCTCTGAGGTTCCTGTTCAGATTGACTGTTCTTTTCTCAAAGCGGCAGGACCGTTGCCAGGGAGGGCCCAAAGTGTGGTGGCACCAGGCACAGGGTGTGTTTTTTGGGAGTGGAATTCCTGGAGCCCGTGAGAATCGAAACAACCATAGGGTGGGGTGGAGTTGGAAGAGCCCTGGGAGATGGGGGTGATAGTTAGGGAGCCTGATTTCTGGTCCTGATTGCCGCTAATTCACCGTGTGTCCTTGGACAAGTCTTGGCCCTGGTCTGGGCGTCAGTTTCCTTGTCTTGAAAATGTGTGCGTGCACGGAGTAGCTGTGGGACTAACTCATCTCAAGTCTCTTCCAGGTCCTGGGTTTTGGAAGCAGGATCCAGGAAGGGGAGATGGGGATGTTGTAGGTTGGCTTTGTTGTGAGTGGTGAGTTAAGTTCAAGTACAGGGAGAAGACCACCCCCTCTGCCCTAGAGGCACTGATCTGACCTGTGTCAATCAGCAGGCTTGGCCTCCAGCCACCGCTGGCTGCAGGCAGAGAGCCCCACTCCCTGCTCCTGGAATCCTGCTTTGCCAATGCTCAAGGCTTTAAACTTTCAGAACCCCTTCCTGTACATTATTTCCAACTAGGAGGAAGGCGGCAGGAGTGCTATTCCTATTTTACAAGTCAAGCAGCCAAGGATAACCGGGAGTTTTTACTTATCTTTAGTTCAGCATTTTACAGTCTAAAATAGTTTTCTACCCTATGAAGTAGATGGTTTTAGTAACTCCATGTTGCAGGGGGAAACTGAGGCTCAGAGAGGGGATGTGACCTGTCCAAGATCATATAGGGAAATATATGACCCACAAGGCAGGTTATCATTAGTCTCTTCTCTGTAGCCTTGACTTTCCCCAGTACCACCTGATTTAGGAGCTGGGTGCCCCCAGGGAGGGCACTCAGTGGTGGGCCCAGTCTCTCCTCTGGCCAGCTGCTTTCAGGAGACCCGGCAGAGTTTCAGTAACAGCTGTGGTTTTGAACTGCTTTCCTCCCAGAGGAGCTGAGTGCATCTGTCTGTACCTCCCTCCCGGAGGGGCTCAGTGATCACAGCAAGAATGGCTCTTTTACTGAATGCCTCTCGTGTGCCAGGCACTGCTCGGCACTCTTCACATTCCTTATCTTGGTCAAGGTGCCAAGATGCCCGGGATGAGGTATCTTACAGATGAGGAACCTGAGCAGAGACATGAAGTCACTTGTCCAAGTCCTACGCCAAGACGCGAGAGCATCTCTTTGCATCAGACCACCCTACAGGCCTCTGGGGCCCAGGGCCCCCTTTCCTGTCAGTCCCCGGCTTCCCTGTGCCACAAAACCCGGTGGGCAGGCCTTGGCCCCCTGCTTACTCATTTTAACAGGGTGTGACCTGGAGCAGCTCCAAACCCAACCCTGGGTGTGGCCACTTGTTTTGTGCCCAGGCTGCAAAGTGCAGGGTGAGCAGGATTTGTTGGGGAGCTGCTGTTTAAAGGGACCTTAGGCAGTGCCCAGGGACGGTGACCAAGATCAACGGCAGAATGAAGGCGGGAACCCAGGTCTCCTCACTCCCTGACTAGAGCTCTTTCCGGCACCTCTGGAGGAGGCGTGGGATGTTCCTGCCCCAGCCGGGCACATGGCATCGCTCTGTGTCATTCCCGCAGGACCCTGTGAAGAGGGTGGGATCCTGCAGAGTTCTCCTTTCTTTTCATTTGTCTGTCTTTTCCAAATTTCCTCTGAGAACCAGGGAAGAAAATGAACATTTTAATGAACGACCGTACAAGGTGGGTCAGAGGAGGAAATGTAGGCTTAGGGAGGCAAGGCAGAGAGTCCCTCCCAGGCCACCACGAGGCAGAGCGGGGATCTGGAAGCAAGGCTCTCAACTCCTTCCACTGGCTCCTACCCCCACCATCTAACTTAGGGCTTAGGAGAGACCTGGCTCCACTCCCTGTGTGATTTCCGGCAAGTCACTTCCCCTCTGAGCCCCGGTTACCTCACCTGGCTGCCTGCAAGGGGGTGGTGCCTGGGGCCTCTGGCCCTCTCACTTCTAGGGCTGCCTGAGGAAGGAGCTCCGTTCTTCTCCCTCGGGGTTGGCACGGTGGGCTTGAATCTTAACCAGGCCTTTAAGAAACAGCCAAAGGGTCTGCCTAAGAGGGCCAGGTTGGAGCCGAGCTGGCCTTTGCCCTCAGCACGTCCCTGACGCTTTTCAGCTCAGCCCTGAACCTCTCCCTCGCTGGTGGCCCTGGTGGATTAGTGATCGCAGCTCCCCCGCGTGAGCAAGCGCTTTGCTGCCCCCTCACTGAATCCTCCAGGAGGGAGGAGCAGAGCACCCCCCTTTTACAGGTGCAGCTCAAGAGGTCAGCGGACTTGCCCAGCTCACCCAGCCTGGATGGGAACCCAGGCAGCTCTGACTCCAAGGCCTGTGCTCAGCCTCTCGTTGGTCCTTGTCCTCCTGGGCTTGTCCTCTGCCACTTCCGTTCTGCAGGCTCAGACCCATCCATGATGAGCTGACTTTTCTCTGGGCAGTGCTCAGAGGTGTCAGAGAGATGTCCTCAGCTGGGGGACAGTTTGCTGCTTAGGGACCCTGACAGTGCAGAATAAGGGTGAAGGAGAGGAAGAAAAGGGAGGGGGCCAGTGTGTGTGTCTGTGTGAAGTAAAGTGATGGGGGCCGGTGGACATAACCAGGCCTCGGCTCAAATGTCAGCAAGTTCTGGGGCAACGTGTATGGGATGGAGCTGAACAGCCTAATACCTGGTTTTGGAGTCAGACAGAGCTGGGTTCAAACTCTGGCTTTGCTCTTTGTCTGTGTGGCCCTGGGCACGTGGCTTAACCTCTATGAGTCTCCATTTCTCATCCACCAAGAGAGAGTGCAGTACTGAGTTAGGACTGATGAGCACGTGATAGGCCCTGCGCAGGTACTCCGTTCAAGGCCCTCCCCTCCTCCCTGCTCTGCAGGTAGTGAGGTTCTTCCTGGTGTGTTCTGTGAACTCAGTAGGGGCTGGCTTCCATCAGGTGAATGTGAGTGGGGCTGGGGAGACTCTGGGCTGCCACCTCTGCCTCAGGTAGAACTCAGCCTGACTTCCCTTCCTCTCCTTGTCCTGGGCTCACCAGGTCTCAGTTGCTTCAGCTGTAAAATTGGGATTCGTGGCGTTGGGAAGATTCAGTGAGGTGATGAACATTGGGGCTTGGTCTAGGGCAGGTGGAAGGTCTCAGTGAATGATTAGGACTTTTCCTCTAAACAAGATGGGACTAGAGCAGGTCACTTTCCCTAGAATCTAGCATCTCACAGGCTGGGAAGTTAGAAAAGGAATATTTTCCAGAAGGACTTAAAGAGGAATGAGCAGGGAGACGTGGTGTTTGGATCATGTCCGGGTCTGGGTGGAGGTGGAGGGGAGGATCCTCTTATCCAGGCTCCTCCAACCAAGGAGCAGGGCTCCTCAAATCAGTCCAGGAAGACTTCCTGAAGGAGGCATGAGAAGGGGGAAGGGAGCTGACAGCAGGAAGAGCCATCACTACCTCCCACACGTGTCAGCCCACCTGTGCTCAGCAGTGGTTAGAAGCCTCAGCCCTGCTGAGCGTGACCTCACCATCAAAAGTTAAAATAGACCTCTCTGTCCCAACTAAGGTAGGGGTGTCTGGGTGACTGGGGGAAGGGAAGAAGGAAATGAGCTCAGTGACCCCCAGAATAGTTTGTCTAGGAAGAGGCCGAGTTTGAATTTTAGGGAAGGGACTCCGCATTTCCTGAACACCTACTGAATGCTGAGCCACAGGTTGAGTGCTTTACAAAAGTTATCTCCTTGAATCCTTACAACAGCCCCTGGCAGTGGGTATTTTCCACCCCATTTTACAGAGGAGGAAACTGAGGCTCCTAGATGTGGAGCATTTCCTCAAGTCACACAGCGAGCCCGTGAAGGAGCAGGGAGATTCACGCCTGGGTCTCTGACCTGTGCCCCAGTGCCCCAACCCTGCCTCTGCCCAGCCCTAACAAGGAGAGAGGCCCCTTCCGGGCCAGCCCAGCTTCTGGGCGTAATTGAGGCCGGGTGGCAGTGGGGTGGAGAGGAGCAGATGGGTCTGTGGTTTGATTTCCCCAGCAGGTGTTTCCCAAGCTTGGCGGGAACAGGGAGGGGGAGCAGGGGGACCTCAGCTGCTTGTCCTTAAGACACAGGGGAAGGATTCATTGTCTGCCCCTCTCAGCAAAGAAAGAATGGCAAATAGAGTCTATTCAGGCCCTGGGGCCCTTGAGCTGGAGCCCAAACGGGGGGTGGGGGATGTTTGCACTGCTTCCCGATGTGGACACCTCCCTGGGGTGTGGCACTGAGCCAGGAAGTCCCCTGGGCCTGGGCGGATGCCCAGCCCCACCCTGATAAGGGCCAGCTGTGAGCCTGTGATGGACACCCAGTCTGGCTGAGCCAGCTGCTTCTGCAGTGGAGGTGCGGACGCTCTCCCCAGCCTGATGTGCTTTAGGCCCTCCCCTCTCCTTCTTCCCTGTATCATCCTGGGGGAGGGGGGTAGAGGGGCGGGTGTCAGGTCCAGTTATTAAGGAAGCCTGTATTAAAACCCAGACTGGCTTTGGTAGTCTCAAGTGCCTGGGCCTCGGAAGATGGGAGTGTTGTGTGCCCCTCAGAAATAGGACTTCCTTCCCCTGAAATCTCATTTTTCAGGTCACTGATATTTCCTTACCAGGTACAGTGATTTTTTTCACCCAGGACTGGTGGCAAATTGAGGCAGGCGGTGGCTGCTGGTGGCCTCAGTGCTTTGGCCCCAAGTCGGGGAGAAGCTAAAGGACGAATGATTCTCAAACTCTGCCTCTCTCCCCTCTCTCTCCCCAAGGCCAAAAGGAAGCTGGACCTGGAGGGGATCGGGAAGCCTGTGGTCCCTGAATTCCGGACTCCCAAGCGGAAGTGCATTAGAGTGGATGGCCTCCCCAGCCCCAAAAGTAAGCCACGCCGCTGGGTTATCTAAGGGCAGGCTCAGGAGACTGAGGTGGGGTGGGGAGGGGCAAGAGGGCAGCAGCCCTGCCCAAATCACCAGGGCTAATATTTGTAGCGCACTTTCTGGTTTACACAGCAGTTTCCTGTGCCTTCTCACTGGATCCTGCCAGGCAGGTGGATTGTCCCCCTTTCACTGATGAGGCCGCTGGAGACTCAGAGTTTCAGTGACTTACCCAAGGTCACACTGCTAGTCAGTGGAGTCAGGACCAGAGCCCAGTTTCTGCCTCTTGATATTTTCAGTCAATATTCTGGTTTGGGAGGGAGTTTAAGCAACTGCGTTAGGGAGGAATTCTAATTTGGGGGGACAGAGACCTAATAAAGAAGGTATGTTATTGGGTGGTAAGCTTGAGGGTCTGGTCGGGACTCTGTTCTGACCTGACTGGTCACTCCTCTTCTGTGAATCTTAGCTGTCTCATCTGCAAAGCAAGGCGCAGCTAGATCGGGAATAGCAAGAAAGTTTCCTCTCCAAATGATTAGTAGAGGCTGCCCAGAGCTCTTTATTGAAGGATCCCAAGTGCACTAATCGGTTAGTAATGTCTGCCATGAATGCAAAAATTGACAACACTGTCTGTGTGCCAAATACTTGCTGTCTATCTCTTAAGGGATTCTAAAGTCCCCTTCTAGAGGAATCTGAGACTCTCTAAAATTCAGTTTCCAGAACTAGTTTAGCCATTAACTTGCTATATGACTTGCAAGTCACTAGATTGCAAAAGTCTTCTTGTGGTTTAAGATGCTGCAGCTGAGATGTGGTCTTGTGACATCGACCTCATTAAGAAAGGGACCTTTTTCATGAACCTGCCACATGTGACATAATAGGACTGATTCCTCTCAGATAATCATTGCATGACACATAGAAAGAAAGAGCAAGTCTCTATGTCAGTGCTGTATGTCAATTATATCTCAATAAAACTGGAAGGGAAGAAAAAAACATGTCTATAAACATGTTCTTGTCATTCCTTCCCTACCCTAATTCCAAATTCCTCACATAACTGGCAGGATAGGGTAATGGTTAGGAAGGGAGACTCTGGAGCCAGACTGCCTGGATTTAAGTCCCAGCTTTGCCACTTTCTAGCTGAGTGAGTTGAGCAAGTTACTTAACCTGTCTGTGCCTCAGTATTCTCACCTGTAAAATGGGGACGGTTATACACCAAACTTATAGGGTGCTGTAAGGATTAAATCTGTTGTACATGGAAAGTGCCTAGAACAGTGAGCTACACACAGTAAGCATTTGTTGTTGTTAGTGGTGGTGGCGGTATGGCTGCCCTGAGCTTTGGTGGAAAGGTGCGAACCAAGAGTTAGAATATTTGGTTTCCAGCCTCGACGCTGCCCCCGATTGTGAAACCTTAAGCAAGTCACTTTGCCTCTCTAGTTATCAGATTCCCTGTTTGAACAATGGTGGTGAATGACCCCCTCCCTCCCAGTGCTCTGCAAACTGGAAAGTGGGTGCTTACATGGAGGGTGTAAACTGGAAAGTGGGTCCAGGTCAATGGAGGAAGTTCCCCAGGGGCCCCTCTCTGAGCAATGGCTGAGCGCCTTTCCTCGTCAGCCCCCAAGTCGCCTGGGGAGAAGACTCGCTATGACACGTCGCTGGGGCTGCTCACCAAGAAATTCATTTACCTCCTGAGCGAGTCTGAGGATGGGGTCCTGGACCTTAACTGGGCTGCTGAGGTGCTGGACGTGCAGAAGCGGCGCATCTACGACATAACCAATGTGCTGGAGGGCATCCAGCTCATCCGCAAGAAGGCCAAGAACAACATCCAGTGGGTGTGAGTGCCTGGGCTGGGGCCGATGGCACCAATGAGTGCGCGTGCTGTGGGTGGAGCCAGGGGCAATATCCTGAGGTTGTGAATGTAGGGGGCGGGCCTGAGAGCAACATCCAATGGGCACAAGTGCTGGCGGGTGAAATGAAGGGCAACATCCAATAAGCTTACACGCTGCGGGTGGAGCCAATGTATTTAAGAGGGGGACGGAAGAGCAGGTGTATATGCTGAAGTAGTATTAGGAAAGCATGGCAGGGTCAGAGAATGATTTATAGGACGTGTAAAGGCTAAGAGGACCCCAGATCCTCTTCAGTCAGGGGTCCCAATATTGCCCTCTTCTAACTTAGGGAAGTCCTCTGGGATCTGCGCAGTAGTAACGCAGACTCCTTCCAGCTGAGATATAAGTACTACAGACTTCGTTCCTCACTTCTATAAAGTCTTAAAGAACAGACCTGCAACCCCTGGCGTGAACTCTAAGAGAACGCAGGCAGAGAAGTCAGGAGTGAGGTCACTCCAGCTCCCTGCCATTTGGGGGAGCCTGGGGCATAGGGTGGGTAGAGTTGAAAGCCCCCCAAAAGTGGTGTCAGGCCCTGACTTGTTTCTTTTCCCTAGCCCAACCCCCAAACATCAAGTTCCAATCCTTGGCAGCTCCTTGGGAGCTAGGCAGGACCACTGATTTGTACAAGCCAGGAGGCACCATCATAGACCATGTGAATGGCCTCTTCCTGGAGTTTTGCCCACATCGTCTGTGCAGCTTTGCACAGCAGCCCTGGGGTTGGGGTCCCTGGGTGTAGACTGAGACTGACACTGGGGGACTGCTCTGTCCCCAGAGGCAGAGGACTGTTTGAAGACCCCACCCGGCCCGGGAAGCAGCAGCAACTGGGGCAGGAGCTGAAGGAGCTAATGAGCATGGAGCAGACCTTGGACCAGCTCATCCAGAGCTGCTCTCTGCACTTCAAGCACCTGACGGAGGACAAGGCCAACAAGAGATATCCTCTTTGGTTGGGAGGAAGGGGTCTGGGAGCAGGGGGCCTGTTGCATGCTCATAACTACCCAGAGTTGATGCAGTACCTCCCTGCAAGGACTGATCCACCCTAGGGGTCTGGCATATCTGTTTCTTCCTTCCTCAGTGGCTTTTCCTCTTGGGTCTCTTGAAGTTACTTTCTCATTATAAAAATAAGACAAGTACATTTCTGTAAATCTGGAAAATGGAGAAAAGGAAAAAGAGCTGCCACCCGAACACAGCCATCATTCCATAGCTATACACAGGGTGTGTGTTATTTAAATACTGTGTGTACCTGCTGTATACAACGTTTTATATTCTGCTTTTCTCCACTTAGTGTACTGCCATAGGTGGTTTTTATGTTGTTACACGTCCTTCCTAACTATTTGGTTGGTCCACATGAAATTGCTCATATTGCAGTTTCGTATGGTTTAACATCATATATATTTTTGTTTGTTTGTTTGTTTTTGTTTTGCCACACCGCACGGCTTGCAGGATCTTGCTTCCCCGACCAGGGATCGAACCTGTGCCTCCTGCAGTGGAAGTGCAGAGTCCTAACCACTGGACCGCCAGGAAATATTTAAATGGTTTGAGAATGTCCTACTCAGATCACTATGGTTTGTTGATAAGGCCTAGAATGGGCATTTAGATCAATGCTAGATTTCTGTTTTATAAAGCGACATAGTGATGAATATCTTTATTTATTTTTATTTTTTGGCTGCGCTGGGTCATTTTTGCTGTGCCCTGGCTTCTCATTGCAGTGGCTTCTCTTGTTGCGGAGCACGGGCTCTAAGCACGCGGGCTTCAGTAGTTGCAGCACATGGGCTCAGTAGTTGAGGCACGTGGGCCCTAGAGTGCGTGGGCTCAGTAGTTGCAGCACTCGGGCTCTAGGGTGTGCGGGCTCCAGTAGTTGTGGCGCACGGGCTTAGTTGCTCTGCAGCATGTGGGATCTTCCCGGACCAGGGCTCGAACCCGTGTCCCCTGCACTGGCAGAAGGATTCTTAACCACTGTGCCAACAGGGAAGTCCCAAATACCTTTATAGATAGAAACTTTTCCCAAGTTTTTTACTTATTTCCCTAGGTTAGATTCCTAGGATTGAAACAATGAGGTCAAAGAGCATAGACTTTGCAATGGCTTTACACATACTTTTTCCAAATGGTTGGACCATCTAATTGGTATTTGGATCTGACCTTGTATTTCTGGAAGGACAGTAGGCATTGTGAGAAATATAAAGAAATAAGACATGTCTTCCTGCCCTCTCAGAGCTAAAAATCTAGCTTGGTAGATGAAGCCTTTATGTAAAAAGCTGATATAAGGCAGCATTTTTTTTAATGATTCAGACCCCCATTTCTAAAGGGGTCCAAGGTAGCTTCTGAGATTAAAAGAACAGGTTACAGTTTTGGGGTGTTCAGAGTCTTTGAGAGGTGGGTTAGATCCCTTCCGGGTAGGCCGGGAGTTTTAATTTTGACCAGACAGTCACTTCTCTTGACTCTCCTGCCCCTACACTGGCCTACGTGACTTACCAGGACATCCGTGCTGTGGGCAGCTTTAAGGAGCAGACCGTGATCGCTGTCAAGGCCCCTCCGCAGACGAGACTGGAAGTGCCTGACAGGAGCGAGGTGAGCATTTAGTGGAGAGCAGGGTTAGGAACATTCCAGACAGCTCTGCAGGTTCCGTTCCTGGCACTGCCTAGTCCCAAGCTTCCCTGATCCATGCTGGTGGCCATGGCAAGACTGATGGTCTCCAAGCTGGGGCAGAAGTGGTGGAAGCTGGAAAGGGCATCAGGCATTAGGTACCAGCCGGAGAAAATCTCTGTTCCTGGTTCCTCTCCACATCCCACCAGCCCCTGCGTTCCCATGCGCAAGCACACGTGCACTCACGCACAGCAATGTCAGTACTCACAGTAATCCTTCCATGTTAACCTAGTTTAAAGACCAAAATTCTTACACTCTCTATGAGGCTGTCTGTGCTCTGACCTCACCCACCTCCTCTCGCATGCTGACCCCCTTCTGTCTCTACTTCAGCCACACTGAACTGCCTGCCGTTTCCCCACCACACTAAGCTCGACGTCAGTACAAGACCTTCTCACACGCTATTCCCTCCAGCCGAAGTGCTCTTCCCTCTCTCTGCCTGGTTTACGGCTATTCATCCTACAGGTCGCAACTTGAACATCACCTCCTCAAGAAGCCTTCCCTGATTACCTCCAGACTTCATAACCACGTGTTCTTTTCCATCGCACTTAACCTCCATTTGCCGGGATATATTGGTGATTACATAATTATGTTCTGCTTCATCTGTTACAGTGTAACCTCCACAAAGCCGTGTTCCACCCATGTGGTACCCCCAGCCCAGAGTCTGATAAGGGCTCCAGAAATAATCTGTTTAGTGGAAAAGCATTAAGCTATATAAGGCCCGTAGGGGCAGGCAAAGGGACTGCCTGGGCGCAGGCGTGGACACCTGAATGTGATCGGCAGCAGCATGTGCGTTGCCGGTTGTGGCTCAAGCTGCGGGTACGAGGTGGGCAGGAGGCAAGGGCAGGAAAGCCAAGTGTCAGTCTCTTGGTTACAAATAACAGAAAGCCAAGTCTGACTGGCTTAAGTGAGGGGGACCCGGGGGGAGCCAAGTGACAGGTCCAGGGGGAGATTTGGGGATTGCAGGCAAGGCTGGATGCAGAGGCTCAAACCGTGTCGTAAAGGTGGCCTCACACTCCATCTCACTCTGCCATTTTCTGTGCCAACTCCATTTCCAGGTGGGCGCTCCCCTTGCCGTGGCAAAGATAGCTTTTATGATACCAGCTCAGGCCTGAGAGTGGGGGAGGAGTGAGTTCCCAAAGGAAAATCAAGGCACTCTCCCTAAAAGAAGGGGGTCTCGGGGCCAGACAGATGTCTACCACAGACCACACGGGGCAGGCCCAGCACCCAGCTCAGGAGCCGAGCATGCTCATATGGACGGTGGGAGCCTCATGTGTCCGTCCATACCCACTGAGCCATGAGTAAGTCCAGCTGCCCAGAGCCATGACCTGGCTTCTCTTCCTTCTCCAGGAGAACCTGCAGATATATCTGAAGAGCACGCAGGGGCCCATCGAAGTCTACCTTTGCCCAGAAGAGGTGCAGGAGCCCAACAGTCCTGCCAAGGAGCCCCTCCCCTCCACCTCCACCCTCAGTCCCAGCCCTGACCCCACCCAGCCCAGCAGCAGCATCAACCCTGGAATCACGGAATCCACGGCATCCTCAGGTGAGACCCTCTGTCCAGAGGGACAAGGGATGCCGAGAGGGACCAGCCTTAGAGTTTCCCTCTTCCTTGTCAACATTTGTTGGGTACCTACCTTCTACCCAGCAGCAGGGGATACAGTCCTTCTCCCACACACGTGTGCATTGCCCTTTACACTTTATAAAGCACATGCACGTTCCTTGTCTCAGTGGGGAGACTGTTGCTACTCTGGGCAGAGGAGCGCCTGGGTTTGAATCCCACCCCTTCCACTTACCAGCTATATGATCTTGGACAAATTACTTTACCTTTCTTTGCCTTAATTTCCGCATCTGTAATTTGAGCATAGTAATTAATAGTATCTACTTCATAGTTTGTGAACATTAAATGAGTTAATATAGGTAAAGCATTTAGAACGGTGCCTGGCAATAACTGTTAGCTATTATTATCATTATTACGGCCACCGCCACTAGTACTGCTACTTCTGTAACAGCTCCTAATGGCAGAGCTCCTAACACTCAATAGCCCATAGTAAATGGAAATTATAGATTTTCTGAGGAAGGCTCAGCACTTTCTTAGGAGATAATAACTAAGGTGTTTTAAACACGACTGTGTACCAGGTACATCCATTATCACATTACTCCTCACAGCGGTTCTTGAGGTGGGTTTTATTGTTCCCAGTTTAGAGATAGATAAACTGAAACAGAGGTGATGTGACCTGCCCAAGGCCTCCTAGCTGGGAGGCAGCAGAGCTGTGTCTTGAACCTTGGTCTCCACACTCTAGCCCAGGGCTCTCTCCACGAGGCACAGAACAGATCAAGGAAGGACGGTGCCTGGGAGGTGGGTGGTAGAGCTAAAAGCTGTCTATGCCGGGCAGGAAGTAGTATGAGGCCGTTGCCAAGGAGCAAAGAGGTGGGAGAGTCCCCGAGGTCTCCCCAGGGAGACTGGGAGTTGGACAGGAGTAGAAATGGGAGCCTATGAAGGCCCCTCCCCCAGAATGGTTTTTGCCCTTTACTGAGATCAGGTTAGATCGGCAGGATCCTTCGAGGCCACGTAGGCCAGTGTTCCGCTTTTGTTTTCTTAGCAGCAGAATTCCCCTAAATAGAACCCTAGTGTTTAAACACATGCAGAGCTAGAACTGGTCTGGTGGAAGAAGCTTTTTGTGTGTGTGGTGGTGGAGGCAGGTGTCCACAGAACCCAGATTGGATTCCATTTCTTTAACTCAAGGGTTAATAAAACTATTGCCTGCAGGCCAAATCTGGCCTGTTTTTATATGACCCATGACCTAAGAATGGTTTTCACATTTTTAAAGAGTTGGGGGTTCGGCGTAGGGCAAGTGACGGTGTGACAGAGACCATATGTGTCCTGCAAAGCCTAAAATACTATCTAGCCCTTTACAGAAGTTTGTTGACCCCTGATTTAACTCAACACTTCATTTTACACATGAATAAACTGAGGCCCAGAGAGGGCAAGTGACTTTCCTAAGGTCACACAGCAAGTTAGTGGCAGAGCTCAGACAAGAGCCCAGACTCCTAGTTCTTCTCTAGCCATCTCTCCTGTGTTCCAGCCCAGTCCCAGGACCAGGGCTCTCCCTGAACCGACCATCTGTCCCTCCGGGAACCTCCCAGTGCCTATCTCCCAGTCCAGACCTTTGCCCCACCCTATTCTCCCTCCTCCTCCCACGCTCTGCTTTCTCGCTCCACTGTCAACAAGTGCACGGCTCTCCAGAGTTAGAACCTTCAGTTGTCGTCTGAGACCTTGGGCAGAGGTGGAGGACCCTACCTCATAAGCAAGGACAAGGATTTTACCTCAGTTGTACAAGTCAAGAGGCTGAGGCCCGAAAAGCCTAGATAGAGGCTTACGGAACAGTAGGCGGAGGGGCCAGCCCAGAAGTCAGCTCTGTGCCAGGGCCCATGCCCTTGCTGCCTCTCTTCACCCTTGCCACATGGTCTCTTAGTGATGTCCCTGCTGAAAGGAGCAGGAGGAAGTTTTCCAGAAGGTGTACACACACACACATGCACTCACACGTGCTCCATGTTCTGGCCTAAGCAGGGTCATTCTGAGATACAAACACCAAGGGCCTGGTCCAAAGAGGAGGCCACTACAGTCTTAGGACCCAGGTTCCCATCCTAGTTCTGGCGCCACCAGGGGAATCATTCTTGTTTGGGGACCTCGTTTACCTCATCTGTAATGGGACGAATCTGAACCTGAGTCATTGAACATCTCTCCGGGCTGTGACTTTCTGACTTAAAACTACATGTGGCTGAGGGCACAGGAGCTGAAGCTGGGACACTCGGGTGTGAGTCTGCATCTCACCTCCTTTGATGGGGTGACTGTGGGGGAGTCACTTTAACCCCTCCGAGCCTCTGTTCCCACGTCTCCAAAAAGGAGGACACTAAATAAAACTCCCTCGTGATTATTGGGTGCGTTTCAGGTGATGATACAGCGTGAATGTGACTTTTTAAAAGTTTGTGTGAACTGGACACCTATTATGTGTGGGTTTGGAGATATTTAAGTGAATATGAGCCATTCAGGGTGCAGTAGAGGCACAGATGTTACAAAGAGCAGTTCTCTTCTGGATGTGATAAACAGTGAGACAGAGAAAGAGGGAGAGAGAGAGGATGGATGGATGGATGGATGGATGGAGGGATGGATGGGAGGGGTCGGACCTGAGGTAAAGGCTCTCACATGTGATAGCTCAGTTACTGCTTCCACAACTCAGGGTGGTGGGTCCTTATTTTTCCTACTGGGAAAACTGAGGTGCCGGGTCCTGTAGCTGGTGAGGGGCTGGGGACTGAGCCCCCAGCCTCTTCCTCACTCCCAAGCCAGGCCTCGTACTCTAACACACGCAGGCCTCTGCGATGTGCTAAACAAACATTTGATTTTTTTTCATTCAAATACTACATTTAATTGGCTTCTTTGAGCTTCAGTTTCCTCATCTGTAAATAGACATAACAACAGTGCCTCCCCCTGGGGCTTCTGGAGTGTCCAAGGAGGTGAAACAGGCCTCTCCTTGAGATCAGAGCTGACGGAGCAAGCCCCTGGGAAATGGGAACTATTTTTGTTTTTAAGGACAGCCTGCAGACCAGCTGTTCTTTATCTGCACTTACCGTTTAAGCCTCTCAACAACCGGAGGCAGGTATAATCGTCCCCGTTTTAGGGGTGAGGAAACGGAGACCTATGAACGTTGTCACTTGCCCACAGTTACACAGCTAGCTCGAGGTTGATCAGGCGGTCTGGCACACTGACATGGTTGTATTTTCAAAGCAATGCTTGGCTGGTAAGGAACGACCCAGATGGTGAGATTCTGGGCATCAGGGTGTATTTGGCAGGGGATTTCTGGCACCCTGCTCCACATGCCTGCGTAAGGAATCACGTCCTTACCTCTAAATGGAAATGAGCTGGTGTGCTGAAGAGTAGGTGATGGCCGGTGTGTCTGGAGAGGTGAGCATGAGCTATGGGAGGGAGGCGGGAGAGGGACCAGGAAGGAAGGCCGGGACCAAGTCGCGCCGGGCCTGCTCAGTCATGGTGGGAACTTGGATTTTATTCTAAGCCACTTTTTTTTTTTGGCCGCGCCACTTGGCATTTGGGATCTAAGTTCCCCGACCAGGGATCGAACCCGCGCCCCCTGCATTGGAAGCTTGGGGTCTTAACCACTGGACCGCCAGGGAAGTCCCTCTAAGCCATTTTTAAGTCACAGCACAGACTGCAAGGGCCAAGAGTCGAAGCAAGGTGACTGGTGAGAAGGCTTCTGCAGGGGCCTGGGTGAGAGGAAGGGGCGAGCCGCAGATCACAGCAGCGGGACTGAAGAGAGATGGGCAGCTTAGAGGGTTGATTTGGTTGTGGAGGTGACCGAACCTGCTGCTGGGTCAGATGCGGGGAAATGGCAGGATTACAGGTGATTCTTGGGCCTTCTGGCCTAAGCAACTGAGTGGGCGGGGGTTCATTAAATACAATGGGGGAAGACTCAGGTTTGGGGGAAGCCCGGGAGTTTGGTTTTGACGTGCTGAGTTCTGACCTAGCGTAGCCATCAAGTAGAGATGTAGCAGGAGCCCAGAGCCGGGGGGGGGGGGGGGGGGGGGGGGGGGGGGGGGGGTCTGTGCCAGTGGCATCCACTTGGGGGCAGTAGATCTGGAGACGGATTTCAAGCCATGGGGCCCGCTGAGATCACCTGGCGAGGAGTGCAGCCAGAGGAGAGAAGAATCGGAGGATGGAGCCCCTGGGCTTCAGGGTTTAGAAGTTGAGAAGACGAGGAGGATCCAGGAAAGGAGACCAGGAAGAAGCAGCCAAAGAGGTTGAAGAGAGGAAGAAAACCAGGAGAATCTAGTACCTCCGAAGCCAAGTGAAGATGTTTCAAGAAGAAGGGTGTGAACGACTGCATCAGATTCTGCTGGAATGTCACATGGGATGAGGCCAGAGAACTGACCCCTGGATTTAGCAACATGGAGGGCACTGGTTCAGACAGACCCCAGGTTGGAGTGGGTTGAAGCGTGAATAGTGGTGGGGAAGTAGGGAGTGAGCACGGGTAGCTCTTAAGAAACTTCACTGTGAAAGGGAGCAGTACAATGGGCTGGTAATTGGAGAGAGTCATGAGGTCAGGGGAGGATGCTCTTTAAAGATCAGAGTTATTAGGGACTTCCCTGGCGGTCCAGTGGTTAAGGCTCCGCGCTTCCAATGCAAGGGACGTGGGTTCGATCCCTGGTCAGGGAACTAAGATTCCACATGCTGCATGGTGAGGCCAAAAAAACATAATAAAGATAAGAGTTATTAGAGGATGTCTGTGTGTTGACAGGAATGATCTAGGAGAGTGAGAGGAATTGATGATGCAGGAAAAAGACATAGTGACTTCAGGGGCCAGGACCTTGATGGTGAAAGGGGGTAGGGTGACTGCAGAAGCTGGGGCTGGGTGTGGAGACAGGAGAGGGGAGGGGAGAGAGTGTGGGTGAAGGAGGGGGGCTGCTGGAGCTGGGGCGGGAAAGGGCAGGGCGTCCTGTGCTGTCAGGCGTGAGCCAGGGTAGGAGAGACCAGAGGCTGTTTTTGTTCTCGGAGGTCTGACCAGAGGCTTTCGGGCACCAGCATCAGGCATAACCCTTGTCGATTTGTCTCCAGCACCAGCGCTGACGTCCCAGCAGGTCCTGCCACCACTCCCGCCGTCCCTTGTCCCCCTGGAGGCCACCGACAGCATGCTGGAGCTGCCACACCCACTCCTGCAGCAGACGGAGGACCAGTTCCTGTCCCCGACACTGCCATGCAGCTCCCCTCTGATCAGCTTCTCCCCACCCTTGGACCAGGACGACTACCTGTGGGGCCTGGACGGCGGGGAGGGCATCAGTGACCTCTTCGACACCTATGACCTTGGGGACCTGCTGATTAACTGAATGGCCCCTGCCTGTGCCCCGGCAACCCCTCCAGTCTCTACCTCCTCACAGGCAGACTGACAGGCCCTCTGCCTGCACAGGATGTGACACGAGGTGCTGCCCTCAGGGTATGGGGGTCCCCCCTTTTCCTTTCCTACCTACCACCTGCCGGCCAGTGCTGTCGGGGGAATGTGGAGGATACGAGGAAGGAGCCTGTCAGGGGTTGGGTCCTGTCCTTCTTCATGGAAACTGGGCCTGGGAAGACCCAGCCAGTCTTCTGACCTCTGATCTCTCATGTGAAGGGCCACAGGGGAGGTGACCAGGTCCAAGGAGAGTTCCCGCAATTGCCTTTAGAGGGGCAATTAGGACCCTCAGTTTATCAAGAAGTACTTAATGCCTTTGTATTTATTTCAGGTTGAGTATTGTTTGTTTGCCTTCCCTGAGTTTTAGCAGGGAGGTTGTTCTAGTTCCTAGGAAGACGTCTCCTCAGACAGGTCCAAGGGCAGGCCGGGGCTTGCAGGGGCCCAGGCCAACTCCCTGACTCCCGCCAGCAGTGGGGGACTGGGCCTCAGGGGCCACCCAGTCTGCTGGAATGCCAGGTGCACTTCAGCCTCCTGATTCTCTCGAGCGGGGGCTGCAGGATTCCTGGTCTCCTCTGTCCCAGAGCTGGTTCCAAGGAGTCAGCCCAGAAGAGCTCCCGGGGAAACTGGGGCACGAACATGGAAGCAGCTGTCCGCTGCTGTGGGCACCTTTCCTCCATTGTTGCCTCTTGCTGGGACAGGGGCTGTTTTACACTGCGGACCTGGGTGGTAGGGACAGGCCCGCTGAGGACAAGGGTGAGCAGAAAATAAGAAACTGCCAGGAAGCGCCCCTGCTGGGAGCTGCTGGTATCGCCCTCCCCTGCCCGGGAAGGATTGTTTTTTGCCGCATCTGTTGAAGGGGGTGATTCTTTAATGACCTCCCCTTCCCCTCAGCTCTCACACAGACCCCCAGGGACAGAAGTGACCACGGCTTGATGGCATGTTGGCTCCTTTTGTCACAGGATGCTGAAGGGGTGACAGGGAAGAGTCTTCATGGCAGACCAGACGTTGGCAGCTAATGGGGAGACGGGCTCATGTTACCTCTTCAGGCTTGGGGTCCTAAGAAGGTCTTTTGGCCTCACCCCATCCCCCAGAGGCTTGACCATCCCACATTGTCCCCGTAGCCCAGCTGGGTATGGGGCAGTCAGCTCTCCTCCCCCGCCCAACTTGGGGTGGGTGGGGGGCTCTGGGCTGAACCAAGGCTGTGCCTTCCTGAGAGAGGCAGCCAGAGGTGGTGGTCTGAGAGACCCACCACCCACCTCAGGGAGCTAGGTTTCCTCAGGGGCTCAGCTGGGCAGCACTTTTATTTTTTTAAGTTTGTAGCATTAAGTTGGTCTCAAATATGAAGTTGGCTCCATGGGATTGCTCCTGAGCTGACCTACTGGCTTCTGAAGCTTGGAAGGTGGGCTTCTTTGGGGGTGGGGTCCAATGTGAGCTAATGCCCAGCCGGGGACAGTCAGGCCTTGTCATTCGCTCAACTTCCTGGGTCCCCAAGTTAGTGCCCTCTCAGGAATGATCACAGATACCCTGCTCTATAAACAGGGCTAGTTTTTTATTCTTTACGGAAGTGACTTTGGTCTCTAAACACTCACAGGGGTCTCATCGGCAGGCATTTTTGAAGCCCAGCATGCCTAGGGCCGAGGGACCACCTTGGCCCTCGGGTGGCGGAAAGGGATGCTGCCTGGGATCTGGTTTGGGGTGGGTGGGGCTGGAGATGGCATGGCTGTTGTGAGGTCTCTGCTGGGCTGCCATCTAGCCATGCGCCATATCTGAGGACAGAGCTGTCTGACTTCCATGCCTTGGGCTCTGTCTAGAGCTTTCTCCTAGAATTAAATCATAGAAAAGGGAAATGAATTTAATGGTGAAGTCCAGCCAGAATTGAAGCTCATTCCCCAAAGCCCAGCCAAAGGGCTGGACAGAGAGGCTGTCCCTTGGGCCCATGGCCTATATCCAGAGCAGCTGGTGCCCCCGCCGTCCTGTCCCCTCCACACCTGTCCTGGCCCAGTGGCGGGATCACCAGGCCAAGCCTCAGGCTTGGTGTAGGAAACAAGCTTGTGCCTCTTTCTTCCCGATGATGCCTGAAACCTCCCAAGTTCCATCAAGTACTTTAAGAAGCATTTTGAGTGGAATTCCCTTCAGGGCCCAGGTAAACTTTAAAACCAGGGTAGAAGAAAAGCAAGTTTCTTTCTGAGGTAAACTATTCCTGCCAGGAAATTTCCCAGCCGCTCTGGCAGCCCCCACTCCACCCCCGTCACTCGTGTCCCCAGGGGCATCAAAGGCTCAGGGACTCCCAGGAACCCAGTAGCATTAAATTGTGCAGTAGACAGGCTTCCCTGGTGGCGCAGTGGTTGAGAGTCCGCCTGCCGATGCAGGGGACATGGGTTCGTGCCCCGGTCCGGGAAGATCCCACATGCCAGGGAGCGGCTGGGCCCGTGAGCCATGGCCGCTGAGCCTGTGCGTCCAGAGCCTGTGCTCTGCAACGGGAGAGGCCACAACAGTGAGAGGCCTGCGTAACGCAAAAAGAAAAAAAAAAAGAAATTGTGCAGTAGAGTTGGAGATTCAAAGAGATTTCTTAAAACCAGAGTAGCATCTCTCCTCCACAGCCATGCTGTGGTCTGAGCAGTGCGGCTACAGGGAAGACGAGGGGGAGGGCAGAGGGTGTTAAAACTGGCTGGAGCGTGGTTTTGACTTTATTTCCTCTTTCCAGGTGTTCAGCCTCAGCTCTGCGCCGTGTTTAGTTTTTAGTGAAAGAGTTTGGGTGCTCCTGCGTCCAAGCATTGTGTGGCTTAAAGCATGTGAAGTGAAAGACTTTTGGGGTTGTTTGCAAGCAGCTTTCTGGTTCTCATCACTGTGTCCTGAGGTCCCCACCTCATCCTAGGACCCTAGCCTACCATGGGGACCCTCAGTGAGCAGAAGCCCAGCCAGCCTGCTGGCTCCTGGGTAAGTGCTGAAGCCTTGCATGTGGCACATGTGTCTAGAGGGACCCTGGTCCCTTCCATGCGGGTCACTCACCTCTGGCCGGGTTTCTGGTTTTGCCGTGTGTCCTGCCTTGACGAGCACCGTGTAAGCCTCCACGTGTTGTGACGATTGGGCATTAAATGACAAACCTGGGCCCCTTGTCTCTGTTGTGCTTTCTGAAGGTCATTACCAAGTGTGGGTCTGGTCCTCCCAGGCCAGGGGTGGAGCCTGTTCTGACCAACTGGCTGATCTATGCCCAGAAACAGCCTCCCTTCCCCACGTTGCCTGAAATCTCACCAATAAGACCCTGAAGTTAGCAGCACCCAGATCTAAACTGGGAGCCCCTGCCCTGCGTCTGCCTCCATCGCCTCTCACCTGAGCAATTTCAGTAGCTTCCTTAATATTCTCACCGCTACCCATTCTTCACCACCCCATCCTCTGTATCAGTGGTTCTCAAAGTGTGGCCCTCAAACCGGCATTCCCTGGGAACTTGTGAGAAATGCATATTCTCAGGCCCCACACCAGACCTTCTGAATAAGAAACTCAGGGGGTGGGACCCAGAATCTGTGTCTTAATGAGCCCTCCAGGTGATTCTAGTGCAGGTGAAGTTTGAGAACCATGACCCCACTAATCCAGAGAGATCCTTCTAAAACACAGCTCTCATCATGTCACTCCCCTTATTAATGGATGGCTTCTCTCTGCCCTCAGGATAAAGTGCCCTTTCACTTGGTGTGAACGTCCATTTCTAACCTTGCAACTGGCTTACCCTACCTTTCCAGCCTCACTGGCCACTCCTTCCCACCACCCATAGCCACCCTGGACTTCTTTGTCAGTTCCTGAAAACAACATGTTTTCCCCCTTCTCTGCAATTCTCCTGGGCAGGCTCCTGCTTACTCTTTTTTTAATATAAATTTATTTATTTATTTATTTGGCTGAGTTGGGTCTTTGTTGCTGCACACAGGCTTTCTCTAGTTGCGGCGGCGAGCAGGGGCTGCTCTTCGTTGCGGTGCGTGGGCTTCTCATTGCAGTGGCTTCTCTTGTTGCAGAACACGGGCTCTAGGCATGCGGGTTTCAGTAGTTGTGGCTCGCGGGCTCTAGAGCGCAGGCTCAGTAGTTGTGGCGCATAGGCTTGGTTGCTCCGCGGCATGTGGGATCTTCCTGGACCAGGGTTCAAACCCATCTCCCCTGCATTGGCAGGTGGATTCTTAACCACTGCACCACCAGGGAAGCCCTCCTGCTTATTCTTCAAGGCCCAGTTCAGTTTTTTTGTAGAGTTTTTCCTTGACACTAATATGTAGCCGTTAATACTTTGTACACGGATATGGCCATTTATGGGTTATTGAATACCTACTGTGTGCTAGGAACTGGGGAGATAGAGATAAATAAGAATAGTCCCCATCCTCAGGATGCTCACAAGACACAGACACGTAAAAATATAATTACAGGGCTTCCCTGGCGGTCCAGTGGTTAAGACTCCATACTTCTACTGCAGGGGGCTCGGGTTCAGTCCCTGGTTGGGGAACTAAAGATCCTGCATACCGTGCAGCATGGCCAAAAAAAATTACAAATGATGTGTCAGTTGCAATAATATACATTATAAGAGTTGGGAGGGGCAGTCATTAGGCAAGGCTTCCTGGAGGAGGTGATGCCCAAATTATGTCTTAACAGATAAATAAGACTAGCCTGGAGTAACGGTAAATGAGGGATGGGAGACTTCCTTCCAAGCAGAGCAATCAATACCTTCTGTCCTGCCATCCAGCAGACAAGGGTGGCATCACAGAGCACTGCCTGCTGCCCCAACTCTGCCAATTTGGAGCTCTTGCCCTGGGGAAACCTGCTGAGCCAAAGTGGTTGACACAGACCTTAAGGGCAGTGGGATCGGGAAACTAGGTCTGGGGGGTCCTGTTAGACCACAGGGGACTGATTAATGAGGAGGGTCTTGAACTTGACACCAAGATGTCAGTTTACATGGAGGGCATGGAGACAATCTCATCCATGTAAGCAAAGCAAGGGCTGAGGTTTGAGACATTAGCATAGACAAAGGAACAAAAAAGACGCCATTTTTTAAGCCTTCACATGTGTCTGGACACAGCAGTGTGCTCAGTCCTTCACATATGATAATTTCATTTAATGTTCACTTTATGAAGTCAGTGTTATTATTATCACCACTTTATAGATGAGGAAACACTCAGTTTGAATAAGTTCCCAGGTCACCCTTGTACTTTGCTCCTAGGGATGTAACATGGTAGAAGCTAGTTTTGAAATTTGGCAGTTTCTTAAAAATAGAAAACTACCGTAGGACCCAGTAATTCCACTCCTAGGTGTCTGCTCAAGAGACATGAAAACGTGTCCATGCAGAGACAAGA